TGTGTTCTAGACACACAGTCATGTGCAAACGTATGCACAACGTTCAGGGTGTAAATCCTGAAAGGACGCCTAGAATTTAGGTGTGTGGGCTACAAAGATTGAGTGAGGCAGGATGTTTGGACTGGAGGACTGCTGGTGGAAATGTTCTTTTTTTTCAATTTTATTTGACAGACAGAGTTAGGCAGAGAGAGAGAGAGAGAGAGAGAGAGAGAGAGAGAGAGACAGGGAGAAAGGTCTTCCTTCCGTTGGTTCATCCCCCAAATGGCCGCCATAGCTGGAGCTATGCTGATCCAAAGCCAGGAGCCAGGTGCTTCCTCCCAGTCTCCCATGCAGGTATAGGGGTCCAAGCACTTGGGCCATTCTCCACTGCCTTCCCAGGCCAAAGCAGAGAGCTGAACTGGAAGAGGAGCAGCCGGGACAGAATCCAGCATCCCAACCGGGGCTAGAACACCCATATGGGATGCCTGCGCTGCAGGAGGAGGATCAACCAAGTGAGCCATGGCACCGGGCCCTAGAGGAAATGTTTTAAGGAGACTATTCTTCCCTAAGGAACCTTCTATGGCTACCATCTTAACTCAGTTGGTTTCTCTTGACCCTGTTGGACTTTACCACGTTGCTTTGACTGTAGAAACTCCACCTTTCATTACCTGATGAGAGATGCCCGTGTCTTCTCACCCTTCCTTGAATTTGCTCTCAGACCACGAGGATCTGATCTACTGCATTGGTCTGGAGTGGGGACCACTGCTATGATTTGGCTATAAGAAGTCACACAGCACTGAAAGAAGGCAATGCTAGCCTTCCATTGTTTCTGAATAACACTGGGTAGACAAATCCTCCATCTCGCATGAAAACAAGTCTTGATGTTTGTCTGAAGCTCAGCCTCCTGGGGATTTCTCCAAGACCCCAAGGAAGCAGCTCCTACACTGAGCAGTGTCTTCATTTTTATTCCAAGTGCTTGCCCCCACAGAGATGAGAATGCAAAGTAGAGGCATAAATAAGACACACAAATGAGAGAAGGATTTGTTTAAAAGTGAGGGAGTGAATATACATTCATGTGTGAGTGTGGGAAACCCCTTGGAGAGATACCTACAATGAGCTGGTCAGAAAGCTGCCTATGGGGAGGCAGGAGAAGGACCAACTAGCCATAATGTTCAGCAAGTATGAAGTAGAAAAGCCACTCTTCCACAGGAGTATAGACAAGGGCTATACACAATAGCTAAATCATATGATGTCAGTTTCATTCTTATACATTTCAGAGAAAACATATGATGTTTCTCTATTGGGGACTGGTTTATTTCACCAAGCAAAATGATCTCTACTTTCCATTTTTGTTGCAAAAGAAATTCTATCTTATGCTTGTGTGGTATTCCAGTTTGTATACACAGGCCACATTTTCTTCATCCAATCATCAGTTGATGCACATCTGGGTTGATTCTATATCTTAGCTATTCTGAATTGAGCTGCTATAAATGTGGGGGTACAGCTAACTCTTTCATACACTGATTTCATTTCGTTTGGGTAAATTTCCAGGAGTGAGATGGCTGGGTCATAGGGTAGATCTGTTTTCAGAGTTATGAAGAATGAAGCTGGAAATTAACAACAGTAGAACCTCTAGAAAATATATGAACACATGGAGACTGAACAACATGCTCTTCTTGACTTCATAGAAGAAATCAAAAGAGAAATTTAAAAATTCCTCGAAACAAATGAAGATGACAACACAACGTATCAAAACTTAAGGGATACAGCAAAAGTAGTGTGAAGAGGATAGTTAAAGCAATAGGTGCCATTTTCGGGAAAAAGGCAAATAAATGATTTAACAATGCATCTCAAGGGCCTAGAAGAACAGGGAATAAATCAAACCTAAGATTGGTAGGAGAGAAGATTTTCTCTACTCTTTAAAATTTATTTGAATCACATATGTATTACTCATTGTAGCATTTAAAATGGCTGCTTTAATTCCTTTGTTGTATCATTCAAATATCTTGCTGTTGATATCAGTTGGTTGCCTTTTTAAATTCAAATTCAGGGGCCATGTCTGTGACTCTCAAATAAAATCTTTAAAAAATTCAACTTGAGTGTTTTTTTTTAGTCTGTTATAACAAGTGATTTCCAATAAACCTGGGAATTTTGGGCATTATTTTTTTTTAATTTATTTATTTGAAAGTCAGAGTTACACAGAGAGAGAAGGAGAGGCAGAGAAAGAGAGAAAGAGGTTTTCCGTCTGATGGTTCACTGCCCAGTTGGCCGCAATGGCCGGAGCTGTGCCGATCCAAAACCAGGAGCCATGAGCTTCTTCCAGGTCTCCCACTTGGGTGCAGGGGCCCTAGGACCTGGGCCATTGTCCACTGCCTTCCCAGGCCACAGCAGAGACCTGGATTGGAAATGGAACAGCCAGGACTTGAACCAGTGCCCATATGAGATGCTGGCACTGCAGGCAGCAGATTTACCCTCTATGCCACAGCACCGGCCCCGGGCATTATGTTTTGAGACTCCTGGCTTTTATTTAGACCTTGGGTTTTATCTGACTTTGCACTGTGGCAGAGTTAGGGAGTGCTCCGGTTCATAGGAGAAGGCCCACCACATTCCCTACTTGCCCTATAAGCCCCATGTTAGTAACATAATGTGATTTGTGATTTTATAAACCCTACTATATTGATAAGTACTCTACTCTAAACAATTTTCACCGGAGACACATCAGATATCCGAGTCCATATTATTACACTTGCAAACGTAATGAAAGAGTAACTCTGATGATGATTGTGTAATAATTTTCTATTTCAAATAGTCCCCAGTTAGCAGCCACCAGGGATCCTAGAGGGAAATTGGTCTCTGGATGGCTTTGTTCCGTCTTCTCCTAAAGATGTCTCTGCCTACTGGTCCTGGTGGCTCCTAGCCAGTGTCAAGGGACAATCTAGTGCCAAAGCTATGAGGGGACAATTCCATATAAATCTCATTTCTGCTCTTGATGGTATGGGTATCCTGCCTAGTCTGATGGGGAGAAGGGTGGCAAGCCTAGTGCCCTGGAACACATTTTAAGACCCAGGAGCTATACACAAGGGCCAGATTATGTAAAGAACTATTTCTCATTTCCCCAACAAACAATGTTTTTTTAAAAAAATTTTGTTAGAGCTATCTGGTTCAGGAGTAGGAGCCGCTTGAGGGGCCTGCCAGGAGGCTAAGAAAGCCTTGTGGGAGCGTGAGTGAAGTCACACCCAAGTTCCAGAACACTGGGAAGGGATGTGCTGGGGTCTCACCAGGGAAGCTTGCCAGGGAGATATCTCTCAGTCTCCCCGAGTTGGGATAGTTCCAGGTTTGTTGAAGATGCATGAGGAGCAGACATGATGCACAGGTCCAACTTTTGTCCGGAACAAATTAGGGACATCGCAGGTGCAAGTGTTTCTTTTCGTACCTTTCCAGCTGCCTATCCCCGCATCCTGACTTTTCAGAAGAGTGAAGAGTTGCAGATAGAGTGTTGGTGACTTGGAGCTGCATGTGGGTGAGTGTGTGGCCTTAGTTTGGGTCACCTCATCATTCTTTTTTTTTGGTAAACTGAAACAGAGTGTGTTCCTCTTCAAGTAGGTCTCACATGGTAACTGGATTAGGGGTGTTGGCTTTGACTTAATCAGAGAGTTAATTCAGAGCTCCAGGACAAATACTAGCTGACCTAATGGGAAAAAGTGTCACCCAAAGAAATCTGTTTACCTAAAAGGCAAAATAAAAATCTATTCTACATATGTAGACAGTAGGTCTGAGAAAGAGTCAGAATGAATTGTTGTAGTAAGGTCATACTATGGCTCTTTCTGTCTCCTGGTAGGCAGTCCTTGGGCCTGTGGACCAGGAAGGTCAGAAGCTAAAGATTCCCCCGGATGACCACTTAGCAGCGGATGAAGGGAAAACACACCACTCTTACTACTGACGACAGCCTAGGGCCAAAAGGGGCTGGGCTGAGTCTCCACCATTCCAGTCAGTGCTGTCGTGAGGCTTCTAATAGAACTCACTTCAAGGAGCTGCAGTGCAGGTCAGTTTTTCACCAACGATATTGTGTCCCCAAATTCGGAAATGAATCCCAAGACATGACGAAGGAATTTTGGGTGGGATTACAGAATTCCATGACCAGAAGTTCTTGTTTGGAAGTCAGTTTTCCTTTTGTAATAGACCTTGTAGCTGCACAATGTGAGTGCCTTCTTAGTGGTATTACACGGCACGATCAGATACAGGGCTAAGAGAAAGATGGCTTTTCTGATTGGCAATAGACTGAATAGGAAATGACTAATGCTCTTAAAATGGCATTATTCTTTATGAAGACTGGTAGTTCCAATTTTATTTATCTAAGAATTTCAGGCTACTCTCATTGTAGTCATAGATAAAATCACTGACTTTCATTTAGAAGTGGGCAAAAGCTACATATAACACAGAATGCTTTAAAATAACGTGTGATGAGCATCATTTGCCTAGTGCTCATGGTGCTTGGTACTGGCATTCCTGGATTCCAGTTTGAGTTCCAGCTTAACTCTCAGTTTCAGCCATGTGCTAATGCTGACCCTTGGAGGCAGTGGGTGCTGGCTCGAGTAGTCGGGTCCCAGACACCCACTAGGGTGACCTGGATAAAGCTTGTAGCTCCTGGCTTCAGCCTGGGTCAGCACCAGATGTGTTGCACATTTGGGGAATCAGTCAGCAGACTGGCGACCTCTCTTTCTCTCTCCCTTACAGAGGGATAAATAAATAAATAGTCGTTAAATAAAAAATAAGTAGCACCACTTAAAAAAGCCAATTGCCTATGATATTTTATGTTAAATGAAATGAGTTCTCTTTCTTCAGTCATACACTGCAAGAAGCTCAGACAGAGTTGATGAAGCAATGGAAGGCCTGGTGATGTGGGATCCGGGGAACAGGACAGCAGTGCAGGAGTTCATCCTGGAGGGCTTCCCTGCTGTCCAGCACCTGGGGAAAATACTGTTCCTGGTGCACCTGCTGGCGTACCTGGCCTCCATCATGGGAAACACGCTCATCATCACCATCACCTGGGCTGACCATCGCCTCCACACACCCATGTACTTCTTCCTCAGCACTTTCTCCTTTGTGGAATGCTGCTTCATAACCACGGTGATTCCTAAACTGCTGGCCATCTTCCTGTCAGGGAGGCAAGCCATTTCCTTTGCTGCCTGCTTCACGCAAGCTTTTGTCTTTCTTTCTCTGGGGTCAACTGTTTTCTTCCTTATGGCAGTGCTGTCTCTGGATCGGTACCTGGCCATTTGCAGACCTCTGCGTTACTCCAGCATCATGAGCCCCAGGGTGTGCTCCCTGCTGGTCACTGCCTGCTTCACTTTGGGATTCCTCTTCATGGTGGTCCCAGTTGTCCATCTTTCCCAGTTGTCCTTCTGTGGCCCCAATGTCATCCCCCACTTCTTCTGTGATTTTGGGCCCTTGGCTAAGCTCTCCTGTTCTGATACCAGGTCTGTTGAAATGCTGTTCTTCAATATTGCTTTTTTGATTCTTTTTACATCCCTCCTTGTAACCATCATTGCATACAGCAACATCGTGGTCACCATCGTGAGGCTCCCGTCAGCCAGGGAGCGGCAGAAAGCTTTCTCCACCTGCTCGTCTCACCTCATCGTCCTCTCTCTCATGTACGGCAGCTGTCTTTTCATCTATGTGAAGCCAAAGCAGACGAGCAGGGTGGACTTCAACAGACAGGCTGCTCTGGTGAACACGGTGCTGACCCCAGTGCTGAACCCTGTCATCTACACCCTGCGCAACCAGCAGGTGCACCAAGCTCTCAGGGGTGCCCTGTGCAGGAGGAAGTAGAACCACAGCTCCTCAGTGGAGGGTGCAGCTTCTCACTGTCTGTATAGAATCTCCCTTCAATGTGCATAATCTTCTAAACATGTTTAAATTTATAAATATGTTAGTTTATTCAGGTTTTCATTTTTATTTTAATAATAGAATCATTGCTCTATTTTTCCATTCTGAAAGCTTGAATAATCTTCCTTGCATTGAGATAAAATATCTTCCTTTATTTTCATTACATTTGAATTAATAAGACTTAAAATTTTAAGGAAGAGTATCTAATACATAAATGTTTTTGATGCATTTGCAATGTCAATGATGGGCTGCTGTGGTTTCATGTATCCTCTTGAATATTTGTAAGGAACTAATTTAAATATTTCATATATTTTAAGAATATCAAATTGATTCAAAGCATGGACAAACATGGTTATCATACTGTATTTTAAAAAACACAGACACATCTTTTTTTAATTGTTTCCAGCTCTTTCTCTTGTGAGTAGCTCTGCTGTGAATATTTGTGGATTTGTCTTTGTATGAGTTGTTATTTCCATTATTTTGGGTATAAACTTGCATAGGAATAAGTGGAGGAGAGGAGATGGGGTGAAAATGCTTTAATGTATATGGAACTTCCTACAGGAGTGATGAAAATATTTTGGAATTAGATGGAAATGGTGATTACATAACCTCTAAATGTACACATATCAATGAATTGTACAAGTAAAATGATTAATTTTATATGTACATATACTTGAATAATAACACAAACATTCCAAAATTTGTATGTTCTGCTGAACTTTTTCTCGTGAATACCAAGATCATTCCTGATCAAGATGGCAGAGTAGAAAAAAAAAATTGGTCCTTGCCTTTCCCAAGTTTCCTTTCTAAAAAGTAGACAGGGATCAAAAACCAATATTGCCCAAGGACCCTGGAAGAATGTGCAGCAACACAGAGGGAATGGAGAATCTCCACCCGGAAGGACCTCTGGTAAGACTGCCTGTCAGAGGTGCCACGAGATGGCCGAGAACACAGAGAGAAGATTGAGGGTGTAAGTAGCAGTCACCTGGCAGGAACCACTGGGGCGCTGCCCTGCACAAGACACTGGCATCCTACGCATGGAGGAAACCAACAGTCATTCCTGATGGGAGATCCAGAGCAGGAAGTGTTGCCACGGACAATGCCCATCAAGAAGCAGTCACCGCTGTATCACTCTGGCGCCTAAGCTACCACTTCCAACCCGCATATGTCCCTGACCTGAGTCTTTGATTCTCCACTAATGCTCACACTTATATTCCAATTCTGTGGCTAAACAGCATCGTGCCACACCAATACGTGGGAGCCATGGTCATAGAGAGATACTTCACATCATGGCCCCAAATCCTAGACTCCCTACGTGTTCCCACACTTCAGAGTGCAGCTCAGCTGACACTGACAGCTAGTACCTTCACTGGTCCTGACTCCAAACTTGCACCCATACCTCAAACACCAGAGCCTCCACCATGGAGGGTAGGATTTCCCTGGGCTCTGGATCCAAGGTTTGTCTGTGTGCTACTAGCTTGAGCTGCTGGCTCAGATACAAAGAGATTTGGATGGCCCTGCCTCCTGAGCCACTGTAGCTCTGCACACTCTCGAGGTCGCATCCCTCCTCCCTGGCTGCTTCACAGGATGCTCTATCAACTCAGACCACTGCTAAATTGAAAGTGTGAGTACGTGTGCCCTAGGCATCGGAACCATTATGTCCTTGAACCTCAGAGAGAGATGTGGTTTCTTCAGCTGTGCCCATGTTACATAGCTCAGCCCTGTGGCTCCTCTAAGAGTGCCACTCATCAGACACCAGTGCCATTGCTGAGTGAGGTCTGCAAAGCAGAAACACTGCCAGGACCCTTGCAGGCAGTGGGACTCCAGACCTCACAACTCTCAAAGGCACTCAGGACAGGCGCAGTGTTGGTCCCTGAAGACCCATGCATTTTTGCTCAACATTGACATGAACTCATAGAGCTGCTTAGCAACTGGGTGCTGCGCCCTGACCAGTGCCAGCCCTGCTGCACTACACCCTGAGTGGGGCTTTCCCCTGTATCTTAGCAGATTTTTCCACCATGACCAGTATGTAGGACAGGAAGAGGCACCTGCTCCTCCGAATGTATCAACGTCCCTGTAAGGCACAAAGGGAGGAGAAACTTCACCACCCAAAGAATATAATTTCCCAGCTGGTGACCCCAAAGAGAGGGACGTTTACAAACTAGCTGTTATTGAATTCAAAATAATTGATTAATATGCTCTGGGAATTTAAACGAAATACAGAGAATCATTTACTGATATCAGGAAAACATAAGATTATCCCAAAAGTAAATTTAACCAGAGAAATTGAAATCATAAAACATATAGAAATACTGTCATTGAAAAGCACTATAAGTAAAATGAAAAACTGCAGCAGAGAATATCAACAGTGGAATAGATCACAGTAAAGAAAATGTATGAACTGGGAAAACAGTTCATTTGAAAACAGGCAATCAGAGGAGAAAAAGAAAAAAAATCCCAATAGGAATGAAGAACAGCTGATGTGCAATTTTACAGCATTAGTAAATGTATTATACATGTTAGTGACATGTATTATACATGTTAGTAACATGTATTATACATGTTAAAGAACATTTATACATGGTAAAGAAAAATATGAGAAAGGGAAAGGGACAGAAATATTATTTAAAAAGGTATAAGTGAAAACTCCTCAAATCTGTGATTTGAAGACATACTAGACGGCAGTTATAATCAAAACGGCCTGATACTGGCACAAAAATAGACATGTAGACCAACGCAACAGAATAGAAATCTCAGAAACCAATGTATGCATCTACAACCTTTGACAAAGGAGCTAAAACCAATCCCCAAAGAGACAGTCTCTTCAACAAGTGGTGCTGGTGAAATTGGACCTCTGCAGGCAGGAAGACCAAACAAGACCCCGACCTGACATCTTATGAAAAAGTCAACTCTAAATGAACCAAGGATCTAAACCCATGACTTGAGACCATCAATTATTAGAGAAAAACTTTGGGGAAGCTTTGCACGAGATTGGCATAGGCAAAGCCTTCTTGGAAGCACAGGCAATACAAGCAAAATCATGTAAATGGGATTACTTCAAGCTAAGAGCTTCTGCAGTGCAAAGGAAACACTCCACAAAGTGAAGCGGCAACAGACAGAACAGGAGAAAATATCTGCAAACTGTGCAACTGATAAAGGATTAATATCTGGAATCTACAATGAGCCCAAGAAACTAAACAACAACAAAAGAAATTATCCAGTTAAGAAATGGGCATAGGACTTAAGCAGGAATCTATTTTTTTAAGATATATTTATTTATTTGAAAGAGTTACACAGAAAGAGAAGGAGAGGCAGAGAGAGGGAGAGAGGAATAGAGGGAGAGAAGGAGAGAGGAAGAGAGGGAGGGGGAGAGAGAGAGAGAGAGAGAGAGAGAGAGAGAGAGATGTCTTCCATCTGCTGGTTCACTCCCCAAATGGCCACAACAGCCAGAGCTGTTGACCTGAAGCAGATCTGAAGCCAGGAGCCAGGAGCTTCCTCCGGGTCTCCAACATGGGTGCAGGGGCTCAAGGACTTGGACATACTTCTACTACTTTCCCAGGATATCGCGAAGAACTGGATTGGAAGAGGAACAGTTGGGACATGAACCAGCACCCATATGGGATGCTGGCACTTCAGGCAGCAGCTTTGCCTGCCACACCACAGAGCCACCCCAACAGGCATCTTTCGAAAGTTGTCATTCAAAGGGCCAACAGACATGTGAAAAAGTGCTCAGGATTACTAGCCAACAGAGAAATGCAAATAAAAACCACAATCAGGTTTCATCTCACTTAGAATGGCTATCATCCAAAACCAAAACACAACAAATCTGGGAAGATGTAGGGAAAAAATACCCTAAATACACTGTTGGTGGGAATGTAAACTAGTACAGCCATAACGGGAGACAATGTGGAGATTCCTCCAGAATCTGAAAAGACCTACCCTATGACCCAGCCAGCCATCTTACTCCTGGGAACTGTCCAAAATGAAATGAAAGCAGTGTATCAGAGTTTTCTGGGGGCCATCACTGTGGCGCATTGGGTTAACACCCTGGCCTGAAGCGCCACCATCCCATATGGGTGCCAGTTCAAGTCCTGGCTGCTCCATTTCTGATCCAGCTCTCTGCTGTGGCCTGGGAAAGCAGTAGAAGATGGCCCAAGTCCTTGGGCCCCTGCACCCACGTGGGAGACCTGGAAGAATCTCCTTGGCTCCTGGCTTCGGATCCACACAGCTCTGGCTGTTGTGGACATTTGGGGAATGAACCAGTGGACAGAAGGCCACTCTCTCTTTCTCTGCCTCTCATCTTTCTGTGCAACTCTGACTTTCAAATAAATAAATAAATCTTTCAAAAAAACGATTTTTCTGTACCCTTATTTATTGTAGCTCAATTCAATATAGCCAAGATATGCAGATATGCAGTAAGCCCAGATGTCCATGAACCCATGATTGGATAACAAAAATGTGGTATATATATACTTTGGAATACTACTAAGCAGTAAAAAAAATGAAACCTTGTCTTTTGCAACAAAAGAAATTGTGTATAGCAGCTTTAATTATATTATTGAATCAAAGAGATCACAGATGACTACCAATGGAAGAGGGGCGACTTACATTCTATGTATGCAGTGCTGCTGCTAGGAAGTATAAAAGAACCATCAAGCAACACAAGAGAGCAGAGATGAGTCTCAGAAATCTGTAGGAAAAAAAAGCCAGGTAAGCAACATGTTCCATTCAAAAGCTGTGTTCCATTCAATACTGGTGGAGAGTTTGAGTTTAGCCAAGGACATAAGACTCTACTTCCCACATCAGAGTGCCTGGGTTCCATGTGAACACTTGATCAGTATACAAAATTCAACCTCTCTCTGTCTCTCAAGGAAGTAAAAACTAATTTGTTTTAAAGATTTATTTGTTGGGGCCAGCACTGTGGCCTGGTATGTTGGGCCTCCGCCGGCAGCACTGGCATCCTTTATGGGTACCAATTTGTGTCCCGGCTGCTCTTCTTCCCAGCCAGCTCTCTGCTTGTGGCCTGGGAAAGTAGTGGAATATAGCTCAAGTGCTTGGGCTCCTCCACCCATATGTGAGACCTAGAAGAAGCTCCTGGCTCCTGACTTTGGATCTGCTTGGCTCTAGCCATTGAGGCCATTTGCGAAATGAACTAGCAGATAGAAGACCTTTCTCTCTGTCTTTCCCTCTCTCTATCTATAACTCTGTCAAATAAATACATAAAATATCAAAAAATATTTATGGCTTATTTGAAAGAATGAGAGAGAGAGAGCGAGAGAGAGAGAGAGATCTTTAATTTGCTGGTTCACCCCCAGATGGTCACAATGATTGGGGCTGAGCCACACCAAAGCCAGGAGCTTCATCCTTGTCTCTCACATGGTGCAGGGGTCCAAGCACTTGGGCCATCCTTTGCTGATTCCCCAGGCACAATAGCAGGGAGTTGCATCAGAAATGGAGCAGCCAGAACATGAACCGGTGCTCATATGGGATGCTGGCGTTGAAGGCAATGACTTTACCTGCTATGCCAAAAAGTTGGCTCAATAAAAGCTAATTTTTAAAAAAGACATAAGTAGTTTCTGATGATAGAAACAAAAAAAATGTTTTTCGTAGTGTGGGCTATTGACTATGAAGAGCACAAGGAAATTTGTGCTGAAAAGGGAATATTTTATAAGTTGATTTCAGCAATGTCTCATGGCTGTTTATATATGCAGAAAATTATTGATCTCTACAGTTAAATTTGTGCATTTTACAGTATGTAAATTATATGTCAATAAAGAAAAATTATAACAGTGTATAGTCCCTACCAATTTGACAAGTATTTAAAACAATGACTATTTTGATTTTGTCAAGTGTATACAACAACTAAAGGAAATCATAGAGTACAAAAAAGCAATGTATATGAGCAAAATTGACATTTTGAGATTTGATCACTGTTTAGAGCCACTGTCTATACTTCTTGACAAACAGTGGTTTTCCTACTTGGTACATGTCAAATTTTTTATTTAGTGTAGGGTTAGGCTTGTGGTTATAAAGTAAATTGAAATTATGTCTTGTAAAAATTAAAAGAAGGAGAAAGGAGGGTAGGAGCAAAGGAGGTAGGAAGGGTAGGAAGTTTCATTATGCTCTTAAAACTGTGCATTGAAATACATGATAGCTGTTCCATTTATATAAATAAAAACTTACAAAAAGAAAAGCAATACATTTCTGACATGTGCTAGTATAATTTTAATGATTTTGTATCTTTTAAACTTCATAGCAGTGAAGTTGGATGTCTTTGCCTTTGTCCATTGTGTATAGCCCATGCCTCCTGGCCTTAAGAGCCATGGTCTTCTTGCTCTTTATTTGTTGAACTCTATACTTAGTGGAGCCAATAAGTTGTTGATGAGCATGAAATTGAAAAATCCCCCAAATAATAAGTATAGTTTTTTTTAAAAAAGTGAGGTTAAAATCATGCAGAAAACATTAAAAAAAAGTAATTGTAAAAATATTTATGTGGTTTATCCCTATGTCTCTTGAAATACATAATTTGAGATGATATCACCTTGGGGTCATCTTGCCAAATCCATCTCTGAAGTCTTTTTTGTTATTTATTTATTTGACAGGTAGAGTATAGACAGTGAGAGAGAGTGAGAGAGAGAGAGAGAGAGAAAGAAAGAAAGGTCTTCCTTCCATTGGTTCACTCCCCAAATGGCGGTCACTGCCAGCGCTGTGCCAACCCAAAGCCAGGAGCCAGGAGCCAGGTGCTTCTTCCTGGTCTCCCATGTGGGTACACGGGCCCAAGCACTTGGGCCATCCTCCACTGCCCTCCTTGGGCCACAGCAGAGAGCTGGACTGGAAGAGGAGCAACTGGGACTAGAACCTGGTGCCCATATAGGATGCTGGTGCTGCAGGCGGAGGATTAACCTAGTGAACCCTGGCGCCAGCCCCTCTGAAGTCTTTTATTGGGAACCACGTAGATTATGGAGAATGATGGCAGAGAAATGGTAACTAGAGTATATTTCTGCTGAACTTTCCCATTTCCAACAATGAACAATTAAATACCCCCAAGACTCTGCTGTGATTGTAGTCCCTGCCTCATTTTCGCTCCTCTAATGAAATCTGAATGTCCAAGGGTTTGTCCTTTGGGACCCTGTGTATCCTCAGTGGTGGTGGCAAACACCCCTGAGATAAGGGCATTTAAATGTGTTTTCTTTTTCCACTGTGATGACCTCACTAACTCAGACAGGTGGAGAGAGGCCGGTCTGGGAGAGTGGCCCAGAAATTAGGCCCTTCTTGTCTGTTTTCCTGGGTCTTTCTGGGGCGATGCACAAGCAGTGCTGTTGGTTTTCAAGGTGGACTCTGCCGTCACGTCTGTTAGAGTGGGCCGCCGCATGCTAAGGAGCTTGCAGCAGCTCACCTGCGCTTGCTCGGGCGGATGTGGGCATGCTGCATTCTGTAGTGAAGTAGGCTTTACCAGCAAGTTAGCCAAAGGGAAACTACAACTGTTCATCCTCTAAGGTCTGGAAATCTCTGTTTTCCTTGGAAATAATCAGCCTTACTAGTAATTTCCTACTGAGTTAGGACACAAGATGCCAACTGGCTTTTTGATAATGCAAAGATATCCTAACTGGGTGTTCTTTCTTTTTCCTTCCCAGTGGCTTTGGGAAAAGACCCTGGTTTGTTGGAAGGAAAAAGAAGCACAAGATTGCAGAAGCACTGTTTCCTGTGAGTTATTTCTTGGTGAGCACTTGAACAAGGGAATAATTTGCAAGCTAATGGGTCTAATATTGAAACCACAGAGTGATTGTGTTCAGGCTAGGATTGTGGATGACTCATAGCTAAAGCAACTTATTTAGCCAAGTTGAAGAATTAATGCAATTTCTTATGATGACTTACTCACTACAGCACTGAGTTCCAGCAGGTATAGAGACCTCTTCACCAAAGAGCACATACTTCCTCATCTGATTTCCATCTAGGGGTGGCATTTAAAGAAACTAGAGTTATTGCTCTTCTAGTAGTTGCAATGTGCATCCAACCACAGCAGAACTTCCGCATACAACAATAATGTTCCAGGATAAAGCCACGTTGAGGGGGTAATGGATGACCAACAGCAGGAGACACTTGCATTCTCCTAAACCGATAGAGTTAGAATTAGTGTATCACCCACTTTGCATTTGCTTGTATGCTTGAACAATGCAGTCCATGGAACCATTCCTCCTCCACCTTCTTTAGACATGATTTCTCTTATGTCTGTGGAGTGGAAAGTGAAGACAAACTACAATAGTGAGTTTTCCTGCTTGCGCTAGAGTTTTGGGCACAGAACTCAGGCTACATGGACTTCATGTAAATAACTGGGTTAGAACATGATAATGGGAGCATGGCTTTTTCAAGCTTCCCAATGTCGTGTCAGATGGGTGAAATCTGTGTGCAGGGCCACTCCAGGGGATCATGCCATTCCTGAAATGTAGGAACTACCATAGTGACCCATGCCAGAACATCCCCTGAGGTTTGACAGCCTTCATTGCTATTAGTTGTTAATGTTGCCTACAAAAATAATTTTCATACTGCTTTGTTTTCCTTATGGAATAGTATTCAAAATAGGTTGTTTATTAGAAAAATGAGCTCACACATAAAAAGCAATTCTCAAAAACAAATGCAAAAAATTAACCTTCAATTTTTTGTTTACAATTTAACAAAAGGAAAAATACCTAATGATTTATACAACAATTTTTAGCTAATTTTTCCTTATTTATTTGAGAGACAAATAGAGAGAAACACATGCACACATACAGACACACAGATGGAGAGAGAGAGAAGAGAGAGAGAGGCAGAAACAGAGAGAGAGAAATATCAGCCTCTGGTTTACCACCCAAATGCCAAAAACACACCATGTCAAGGGCATGACCCCAAATAAGTGAGCCATCCTCTCTGCCTCTCAGTGTCTGCATTAGCATGGGAGGCTGGAGTCAGGAGTTTCAGCCAGAATAGATCCAAGACACCCTGATAAGTGAAATGGGTGTCCTGACCAATAAACTAAATGTATGCTTCCTATAATAAAAATATTTTAAAAACAGAAAGTTACTGGCCGGCGCCGCGGCTCAGTAGGCTAATCTTCCGCCTTGTGGCGCTGGCACACCAGGTTCTAGTTCCGGTTGGGGCGCCGGAGTCTGTCCCAGTTGCCCCTCTTCCAGGCCAGCTCTCTGCTGTGGCCAGGGAGTGCAGTGGAGGATGGCCCAAGTGCTTGGGCCCTGCACCTGCATGGGAGACCAGGAGAAGCACCTGGCTCCTGCCTTCGGATCAGTGCAGCGCACCAGCTGTGGCGGCCATTGGAGGGTGAACCAACAGCAAAGGAAGACCTTTCTCTCTGTCTCTCTCTCTCACTGTCCACTCTGCCTGTCCAAAAAAAAAAAAAAAAAAAAAAAAAAAGAAAGTTACTCCCCATTGAGAATAGTAACTGCAAACAGCTTTTGAAATGGTGGTCATCAATTAAGCTATTTATCAATGAGAGTATTTTCTGCCCAACAGATCAAAGAGGGATGCAGATATTGATGGAGGTGAGGAACCAGACAACTGTCCAGGAGTTCACCCTGCAGGGGTTCCCTGCTCTCCAGCGCCTTGGGAAAGTCCTCTTCCTGGTGCACCTGCTGGCATACCTGGCCTCCATCACAGGAAACACGCTTATCATCACCGTCACCTGGGCTGACCAGCGCCTCCACCCACCCATGTATATTTTGATCAGCAGTTTCTCATTCTACGAATGCTGTTTTATTAGCACAGTGATTCCTAAGCTGCTGTCCATCTTTCTTTTAGGACAGCAAAGAATTCACTTTACTGCATGTCTCACACAAGCCTTTTCTTTCTTATTCCTTGGGTCAACAATTTTCTTCCTCCTGGCTGTGATTTCCTTGGATCGATACCTGGCCATTTGCAAGCCTCTACACTACCCGGCCATCATGAACCTGTGGGTGTGTTTGCTTCTGGTTTCCTGCTGCTGCACAGTGTCCTTCCTCTTCATCACTGCTCTGGTTCTCAAGGTTTCCCAGTTGTCCTTCTGTGGCTCCGACCTCATCCCTCACTTCTTCTGCGACTTTGGTGCCTTAATTCACGTCTCCTGCTCTGACACCATACCTGTTGAAATATATGCCTTCTTCCTTGCTTTATGTATCATTATGATGTCACTCACTGTGACCATCATCGCATATGGCAACATCATAGTCACCATTGTGTAGCTCCCATTAGACAGAAAGCTTTCTCCACCTGCTCGTCTCACCTCATCGTCCTCTCTCTCATGTACGGCAGCTGTCTTTTCATCTATGTGAAGCCAAAGCAGACGAGCAGGGTGGACTTCAACAGACAGGCTGCTCTGGTGAACACGGTGCTGACCCTGGTGCTGAACCCTGTCATCTACACCCTGCGCAACAAGCAGGTGCACCAGGCTCTCAGGGGTGCCCTGTGCAGGGGGAAGTAGAACCACAGCTCCTCAGTGGAGGGTGCAGCTTCTCTATGATTGAATCCAATCTTTCCAATCTACAGAATCTTCTCCAGAACTTTATAGTTTTAACTATGTTTCTTTATTCATGTTTGATTTTTATCTTTGAAAAAGAGCTGATATTTGATACAATAAATCTTTTTGATAGCTCTATATTCCATCTTACTCTGGGATACAATATTATCTGCTATATTCATTTCATTAATTTTAAATCAATAATATTCAAAGAATTTTAATCAAGAACCTCAAATCTGTGAATATATTTCATGCATGCTGAATCTCAGCTGAGAAGCTGTTTTTTCATATATTTACTTGTGATAATTAGAAGGAGATAACTAACAGAATTCTTAAATATTAAGAATATCAAATTGGGGTCAGTGCTGTGGCATAGCAGGTGGGGCCACCGTATGTGGTGCTGGCATCCCACATGGGCACCTTTGCCAATTTCTCAGTTCTGTGATTTGGACAGGAGGGGGACAGTGGAGTAGGCCTTTCTGAGTATCCCCTGAGGTTTCTGACACAATGTGTCCTTCATCTGACCCACACTTGGTTTCACCCTAACATTACCTTGTCATTCTCTGGGTCATTCTCATGTCCCAGAGAGCTGCTCCTCTTCCTTCATCCGCACCTTCAGTTCTGGGATCTCAGGATGTGGTTTCAGCTCCAGACCTGCAGGAGACACAGAGGAGGGACTAGGTCATGTCTCAGCCTCAGTTTCCAGGGCATGGTGTGGTTCCCCAGGGACTCAGAGGAACCTGAGCAGGAGGACCTCAGAGAGGAACAATACACACTTTACCTCACTGATGATGAACATGAGGTCCATGCAGACTAAGAGGTTGTCTCAGCACCACAGCACCTGATGGTAGTAGGGCCACCCCATGAGCTTTGACCTCCAGCTTCCCTGTCCCAGGCTTGACTCTTGTCTTCCAGGAATGCAAGGCTGGGTTTTGTGAACTTTGCATAAAGCACTGGTATTTCTGCTGCAAAAAACAAACAAAAGTAAGAAGGTCCTTCCTTGGACACATCTTTTCTCACAATTCTTTTCTCCCATTATTTATTCTCTGTTTTCAATCACTGGGTGATAGAATGTGAGAGATAACACTCAAGTTTAACAGGTATTTAACACAGCCCTGCCTGTCCTGTGGAGCCCTCACCTCCGGAATTCTCCCTCAGGCTTTCTCCTCTGCTGCAATGCTGGAGAGTGTCAGACCTCATGGAGGTCATTTCTGTATGAAGATCCATGCTATTGTTTTTTTGTCCTGGAGCCAGGGAGAGTAGAGATTCCTTCTGGGCCCCTGTAGACTTAGCTTTTCTACTAGGCTGTTCTGCTAGTGTCAAAGATAAAAAAATTTAAAAACCACCATGAACTATGCAAATCAGGTCAATAAAGATTTTCCAGAGGTGCCTGAGATTGTGAGAACAGCCTCTGGTAGAAAGTGGTCAAAGCCAAGCACGCGGCATTGGCAGACTGACTCAGGTAAGGTGTATGTGCAAAACAACCAAGAGACAGCTGCTGACATCAGGAAGAAGGCAAACATCAGAGGAGTGTGAGAAGAAAGGACGATTACTGGCTCAAATGAAGATGGCAGTATCGCAGGCTGAGACCCAGAGGCAAGGCCCATGTCTCAGAGGATTAGTCCTCGGCCCTGAAACCTATCCCAGGAAGTCCTGTTGGATTTGCCCATCTCAACTTGAAAACTTTTGGATGCATGACTTCCTTGTGGCCTCCATTTCTACCCTTGCTGAATTAGAGCCACTGTCACTGTCACCCTATGTCCCCTGCACACTGGGGGCAGATAAGCAGTTTGTTTAATGTCAGAGTCCACAGATGGAGGGAATCATAGAAAGCATCCACACTTAACAAATGCCTTCAACACCTCACTTACATCTCACTTTCATGAACCAGGTAAATTCCAAACTTCTGATGTGAGGCATCTACCTGACAGGTGAAGTTCTTTTATTCCTTATATGTTCTGGATTATTATTATTATTTTTTTTTGACAGGCAGAGTGGACAGTGAGAGAGAGACAGAGAGAAAGGTCTTTCTTTTTGCCGTTGGGTCACCCTCCAATGGCCGCCGCGGCTGGTGCGCTGCGGCCGGCGCACCGCGCTGATCCTATGGCAGGTGCTTCTCCTGGTCTCCCATGGGGTGCAGGGCCCAAGGACCTGGGCCATCCTCCACTGCACTCCCTGGCCACAGCAGAGAGCTGGCCTGGAAAAGGGGCAACCGGGACAGAATCTGGCACCCCGACCGGGACTAGAACTCGGTGTGCGGGCTCCACAAGGTGGAGGATTAGCCTAGTGAGCCGCGGCGCTGGCTGTTCTGGATTATTAATTCTTTATTAGCTACACAGTTCGTGAATTCCAAAATCAATGGCCTTATTGTATACTCACAACCATCTTGATGAGATTTTATAAGTGCTATCCAATTCTCAATAGCTAAAAAAAATTAAATACCTTGTGATAAGTTCAACCAGATGTTAAAGACTTCTTCAATGGAAATTTAAAAGCAATTGAATTTAATGATAGAAATCGAAGCAGACACAATATAATGAAATTTCCTCGTATGCTCTTGATTTGGAAGTATTAATATTATTAAAATGTCAAAACTAGCCAAAATAATTTAGATTCAGTATAGTCCCCATCAAAATTCTGATGACATCCTCACAGAATTAGAAAAAAAATCTTAAAATTCTTAAGAAAACCAAAAGTCTCGGAATACTGAAAGTATTCTTAACCCAATGAAGCCAAAGCTAAAGGCATCACCATGCAAAATTTCAAGATGTGCCACAAAGCTATTGAGACCAAAACGGTATGGTACCAACATAGCAATAGACACATAGGACAATGGAACTAAAGAGAATCCATAGAAATTCATGCACCTACATCCCAGTTAGTTTTGACAAAGGTGTGAAAAACACTCCCTGAAGAAATGTATATGTATTTCATAAGTGGGGCTGGGTATTTTGTCCTTTGCCATTGATTTCTTGATTTTACCATTGATTTTCTTTCTCTCTTTGTTAAAGGATTTATTTTATTTATTTATTGGAACGTTGGGGAGGGGGAAGGGGAGAGAGAGAGAGAGAGAGAGGCAAAGGAAAAGAGAGACTGACCCTCTATTGGCCTGTTAACTTCCAAAATAGCCACAATGGCAAGGGCTGGGCAGGCTGAAATCAGGAGCCAAGAGCTTCATCTGGGTCTCCCATGTGGGTGCCACAGCGCCCCCACAGCCCTGCCCTTCTGTGCACGCCCTGTCGCCCCACGCTGCACTCCTGGGCTCCTCCCTTAGTGTGACCGCGCCAGCTCCAGAGCCTCTAACCCTAGACAGTGCGGGATGACCTGCAGCCACCTTCACCTCACTTCCTTACCTGCACTTTAGACCTCAGAGACTTCTGCCGGCCACAGTTATAAACTACAAGCCCGCACGCAGGAGGCAAGGCCTCCTTTCTCTAAGAGAAAAACAGCGGATTCTAGCTCCTGGAGACGGGTAAGTTTCAAGTCAGTTTTTCTGCACAGCACCGGAGACGCCGCGGTCCAGCCTCTTCTGTGCCCTGGTGTGCTAAGCCTCCGGCTGCAGGGCCGGCTTCCCCCGTGGGCGCTGGTTCCGTCCTGGCTGCCCCTCTTCGTCTGGCTCTCTCCTAATGGCCTGGGGAAGCCGTGGAAGGTGGCCCGAGGGCTTGGGCCCTGCTCCTGCCTGGGAGACCCCTTGTTGTGGCCACTTGGAGAGCGAACGAGAGGACGGAAGACCCTCGTCTCTCCCCTCTCTGTAATTCTCTCTCGAATAAATAAACACAATGGTAAGAATAAAACTAGTTGAAAACAGGAGGCCGTGGTCCCGGAGAGCGCCCCCTGCCGCCCGGGCTCCGCAGCCCCGCGGCCTCCCCAGGGGCCCGGCCCTTCCCGCCCTCCCGGGAGCTGTGGGCGCGGCTCCCGCATCCCCCTCCGAGGAGCGCGTCCTGAGCCTGGGGCCGGCGCCCGTCCTCCTGGAACCCCGTCCCTGGGCGCGGTCCGCCCCGCGTCCCGTTTCCCTTTCTTCTCCTCTGACTCCGGTTCCGGAAGGCGGCCCTCACGTGACCCCGCACCGCTGTCCCGTCCCGGAGCCCTGGCGCGGGTCCTCCATTGTCCACAGCTCCGTTTTCTTCAGCGGGGTCCGCAGCAGCCCCCTCGGCGGCCTGCAGGCCGGGCTGGGGGTCGTCGACGGCGCCCTCGGGCGCAGGGGCCTCGCCTTCCTGAGGGCTGAGGGCACCGGGTGGTGGGCGGGGCTTGCGGCGGGCGGGAAAGCGCCGGGGGCGTGGCGGGGGCGTGGCCTGTGGGCGCCCGCGGTCTGGGGCGGGGTCGTCCCGCGCGTCCGCGCTCCCGCCCTTCCCAGCCGCGTGGGAGCTGACGGAGGAGCGGGTGCGCGGCGCTGTGGCTGCGGGGTCCCCTCTGTGGAGTTAATGCTCGCTCTGCCACCTGAGCTCGGCTTCCGCTCTTCCCTCTGGGGTCCGACCCTGCCTCCCCCGCCGTGGACCCCTCTTCCCGGGTCTCTCTGGCCCGGATCCCGAGGGAGCCGCAGAGTCCGGAGGAGAAGGGGCCTTCCTCGTGCGGAAGGTCCGCTGTATTTATTGCTCCTGTCACTTAGCTGTTGTTGGTGGGTGATTGCTTCTGCCTTTTTTCCCGCGTCATGCACTTTCCCAAGCTTGTTTTGTGGATGAACTTTAGGAAGGTATTGAAAAGTGAGGCAGATAGTCAGGCTGTGAGTTCTCCTGCGTCTCTAGCTGCCTCTTCTCTCGCGTTTCCTGCGCTCTGTTGATGGCCACCAGTAAGAGATTTCCCAAAGTCCGAGACACCTGGGTGCTTGCAAATGCTCCTCTCCGCAGTTCTTCCTTCGGTTTGGTTTTGATGGTTGTTTATTATTTCTTTTTCCTCTGTTTTCTCTCTCTCTCTCTTCTACCTCACACTGTAGGCTGAACTCTCGATGTAACACAGGGTTAATTATATGTATTTTAAAGCAATTGGAAAAAAAGATACCAGCTAAAAAAAGGGAGGGAATAAGAGATGGAGGAGTAGTCTGAAACTGTAAAAAAGGTATAGTTATGCATACAAGCATATAGACTTACCTCTAAGGGTACAGGCTAAGAACTACTCATGGGGCTCCAAACCCATAAGAATCGGTGGTATAAACCCATCTTCAATGTTACAGTGATCAGCTTATGTGTTAAAGGCAACAGATAGACCGGTCGGACTGAAAGGCCTGCAAGAGCATCTCAGGAATGGAAATCTAAGACAGGATTTCCCAGTGCAGGAAATAAAACAACAACAACCACCACCCTACACGGAGGATCTCTACGAGACCTCAGAGGAAAGGAAGGGTCATCAAAGAAGGAGAGACTTCTCTGAAGGGAGAGGAGAACATCCTCGTTGCTTATGGCCGTGTCCAAGTAGCGACAGAGTCTATGGTCACAAAAGGCCTCCACAGCCCTGACAGCTCAGGACAAAGCCTGGGGTGATCACTGACGTCATAAAAAAGTGTTAGTTGTTAAAGGAATAACAGTAGTCAATGTGCACTTGCGCCCCAGGTAGGACCTCTGTCCCTATTGAATTGACTACAAATTCTCTCCCCAAACTGTACTCTGTATATTGCGTGTGGGCATGGGGACAGATTGTTGACCTATATGATTAGCATAGAGATGGTCCTCTATATATAAAGTCATACTAAAAATGATCCATAAATTAAGGAGATGGGAGAGGGAATGGGAGGTGGGAAGGGAGTGGGGTTGGGGGCATGAGGGAAAGAACCACTGTATTCCTAAAGTTGTATATATGTAAAAATTCATTCATTAAATAAAAAAAAGATTATGCTTTCTAAAAAAAAAAGAAAAAGAAACTCAATAGTCTTCAAAGAAGAACACAAGGATGATACATCTGTTGGGAGCTCTTAGACAGAACTATAACTTGTGAGATGTAATAATATCCTCCATTTAATGCACTACAAGTAAGTGATTCTGCAGAACAGTTTCACTATTAAGGCCCATGATACAACTCTTTGAGGACAGAAGGCAGTGCACAGTGACTCTCACTGTGTCTTTAAGAAATAACACTCTTATGTCTGACATCAGTGATCACCCAAGCCACTTGACATGAGCTGCCTCGGCTACAGAAGCCTTCTGGATCCACCTAGCTCAACAAGGCCATAAGCAAAGAGGAAATTCTCTCCTCCCTTCAGGGAAAGTACATCCTTCTTCAGGGGCCACTTCTTTCCACGGGGGTCTACCCTCAGGGGTCCTCTTTGTAGGGCAATTTTTGCTCAAGTGTCTTAGATTTCCATGCCTGAAATGTTCTCATGGGCTTTCCAGCCAGACTGGAATGCCTTATGGGCAAATTCTGAGTTCACAGTGCTACTCATTCTATGAGTCTGTTGTATGGACCACTTTTCATGCTAGAGCCTCCACACCTTTTGAATTCTGTCTATTATTGTTTCCAAACACTTCATCCTATTTATATGATCACTTTAACACTTGATCCATCTATATGTTCACTTTACCACTTAATCCTATCCACTTGTCTTTGTAACACTTAACCTGCTATTTTTATCAGGCAGCTTAAGGGATTTTGGGGTCTGATGGCAACTTGTTAAGCCGTACCCTTAGAAGTAAGGGATCTAATACTTGATCCATCACATGCTGCCTCCTAGTGTGCACGTTAGCAGGAAACTGGACGGAAAGCCCTTTGATGATTCCAACCCAGATACTCAAATATAGGATGTAAGGGGCGGGTGCCGTGGCTCACTCAGTTAATCCTCTGCAGGAAAATTTTTGAGCAAAGAAATACCTTCACAACATGAGTAAAAGAAACAAGCTTTAGCCCGGCACCATGGCACACTTGGCTAATCCTCCGCCTGTGGTGCCAGCATCCCATATGGGCACCCGGTTCTAGTCCCAGTTGCTCCTCTTCCAGTCCAGCTCTCTGCTGTGGCCCGGGAGGGCAGTGGAGGATGGCCCAAGTGCTTGGGCCCTGCACCCCCATGGGAGACCAGGAAGAAGCACCTGGCACCTGGCTCCTGGCTTCACATTGGCACAGCGCCATCCGTGGCAGCAATTTGGGGAGTGAACCAATGGAAAGAAGACCTTTCTCTCTCTGTCTCTCTCTCTCACTGTCTATAACTGTACCTGTCAAATTAAAAAAAAATATAGGATGTGAGCATTGCCAAATGCATCTTAACTGTTGAACCAAATGCCAGTCCCAAAAAGCTCAAAATTTTAAGGTTTATATTTGAATGGATTTTATATTTGAATGGTTTATATTTGAATTGGGATTTTTTGAAATTTTAAATTTTGATGTATAAATAGATGTAGGAGTCTCCACTGTGGCACAGTGGGTTAAGCCACCACTTGAGACACTGGCCTCCCCTATGAGTGCTGGTGGAGTCCCAGCAGCTCCACTTTCAGCTGATCCAGCTCCCTGTTGATGTGCCAGGGAAAGCAGTGGAAGACGGCTCAAGTCCTTGGGCCCTTGAGCTCCTGTGAGATACCCAGATGGAAGTCTGGGCTCCTAGCTTTGTCTTGGCCCAGCCCTGGCTGTTGCAGCCATTTGGGGAGTGAATGAATCAGAAGATGGAAGGTCTCTTACCCTCTCTCTGTAACTCAGCTTTTCAAATAAAAAATCAATCCTTAAGCATGCAAAAATGATATTGTAATGCACATATGCATAGTGTAATGATTACTGGAGACCAGTAATTAAAAATATTCATCATCTCACAGTTATCCTTTATGTGCCTGCACATGGTAAGGACCCACAAAATCTACTCTTAGAAAATTCTAATTCTAATAGAGAATATAGCTCCATTAATAACTCAGATTCTCATGCTTGACTTCAGAACTCTAGATTTAGTTCTTCTGTATAACTACTACTTTGTACTCTTGGGTCAGCATCTCTCTATTCTTCCCACTTGACTCCACCACCTTGATGACCACCCTTATATTCTCTGTTTTGACATATTCAACTATTTTCCTTTTAGATTCCATACATAGCAGACATCACGCAGGATTACTGTTTCTATATCTATATAATTTCACTTTCCATAATATCCTCCAATTTCACCCAGTTTATCACAAATGACATGAGTTCCTTTATCTTTGAGTTGGACAGCATGCCATCATATAAATATATATACATATAATCATACATCTATCATGTACAATGTATTGCTACACATTATATATATATATGTATATACACACATAAATATCTTTACACAGGTATGTATGAGAATGAATCAAAAGGTTCAAGGGATTCCAAAGTGTCATGGAAAACCTGTAGTATCCTTTTGTTAAAGCACACTTTTCAAGCCATATATAGCCAGCAAGATATCTTATCCAGTCATCTGTTGATGGACAATTAGGCAGTTTTCATCTTGGCTATTGCAATCAGCTAGGGATTGCAGATATGTCTACTAAAGGTTGATAATTTTTCTTTTTTGCACTATATCCACAAGAAGGGTGGATGGGTCCTTTGAAAGCCCCTGGCTTTGCACAGGCCCAGCTCCAGCCGTTGCGACTGATTGGGGGAGTGAACCAGTAGATGGAAGACACCTCTCTTCTCTCTTCCTGTCTCTCTGTCACTCTGCCTTTCAAATAAATAAATAAATACTTTTAAAAAGAGTATCAAATTAATGCAAGGATAGTTAACATGGTCATAGTGCTGAATTATGAAGAACAGCACACACACACACATATTTGACCCATTCTATCATTCACTTGCTTAAGTCAGTTACTCAGTCCAGTTGTTTTCAATGATGAATAGTCTGTGTTTAATGGATATATATTTTTGCAATTCTCTTTCTTTACAAATCTTTACAATTCTAGTTGTCCCTGTGATGTAATCACATAAACACCTTGGTTGAAATCAAAGTCCTCTTGGCTTCCTTGATTTTGGAGGTTGACTTGAGCACTTAAAGACTTGAATTTGAAGCCCCTCTAGAAGTGATGCGTTATGAGATCTGGAACAAGGAACTGGATCTTTTGCCTGCTTTAGGAAATATAAAGAATTTGGGAGAAATCTAATCAGAGATGGGAAGAAGTCCAACTGTGACTATAACTGTTTCTAACTTCACCTATGAATAGGTCCCCACATTTGTGGAAGAAGTGAGGCTGTGATCACCTTTAGCACTAATGTGAATAACATTATTCAGACTTCATATGACATGTGACACATTTTTACAAAAGTACCACTTGAGCATGGTGTAGGGAAAAAAATTTTTTTTTGACAGGCAGAGTGGACAGTGAGAGAAAGAGAGAGAAAGGTCTTCCTTTGCCGTTGGTTCACCCTCCAATGGCCGCCGTGGCCAGCACGCTGCGGCTGGCGCACCGCGCTGATCCGATGGCAGGAGCCAGGTCCTTCTCCTGGTCTCCCATGGGGTGCAGAGCCCAAATACTTG